TATCAAAAAAAAGAAAAAAAAAAGAGTCGAGTGATGATGACACACAAAGAGAGGATTGAGGCCTTGGAGGAGAGTTTGAAGTCCATCGGCAATGGCCAACACCTTGTCAGTGAGAATTTCGCTAAACTCGAGCTCATGGTGCATGATCTAGCCGGGCAACTCACGCGCATGATACGCCGACCGCGACGGAGCCACACCTCGCGATCGACCGCGGCATCGAGCAGTCCCGGGACCGACCACGACGACGATGACGGACGATCACGGAGGACCCGCGCATCACGCGCAATGCACCACCACCACGACCGAGGCTATGTGCGACCAAAGCTCACGATGCCTACGTTCACGGGGACCGACCCAGACGCGTGGTTAAGTCGAACCATGCAATTTTTCAAGATCAATGACGTGCACAAGTCCGAGAGAGTCAAGATCGCCGCTTATTATCTCGATGGTGAAGCAAATACATGGTGGCAATGGGTGTCACGTGTGTACAAGAGCAAAGGCGAGCATATTCAATGGGGAGATTTTGAGAAAGAGTTGGTCACACGTTTTGGGACGAGTGATTACTATGACTATGACGAGGCACTCTCCCGAATTCGTCAAAACGGTAGGCTCTGAGACTACCAAAAGGAGTTTGAGCGCATTGCAAGTCGGGTGTGAGGTTGGTCCGAGAGCGCATTAGTAGGCGCGTTCATTAGGGGACTTGAAGCCGAGTTAGCGGCTGAAGTAAGGTTAGATAGACCGAGGTCTACATGAGCGGCCATGGAGTCCGCGCGATTGCACGAGGACCACATTGCCGCGGTGCGCAAGGCCAACAAAGGCGAGGGACGTATGGACGCACGGCGCACGAGCGCTGCGGCCGATGAGACGCCCCCACGGGCCGAGACCAAGCCAACCGATGGTGGCGCGCGAACCACGAGCCACATACGACGGCTTACGACCGAGGAGATCCAACGAAGGCGCGAGAAAGGCTTATGCTTTACGTGCAACGAGAAGTTCACACCAGGCCATAGGTGTGCGGAAAAGCAAGTGTTCTTGCTCGAATTTGATGAGGATGAGCCGAACCAGGAGGAGTACGAGCACATCGAGTGAAAGGAGATCTTGCTACATGTGATAAAAATCAAGAAGAGAGATGTGGAGAGAGGTCCAAAGATGATACGGTTCACGGGACTCGTACAAGGTGAAGAGCCTGAAGTGCTAGTGGACAGCGGTTCAACGCTAAATTTCATAGACAAGGAGCTGTCCAAAGGACTAAAGACGCCAGTGACGAACATAAAGCAGTTCGGGGTCAAGGTTGTGAACGGAGAAGAACTCAGAAGTTCCGAGCTATACAAAGGAGTTCCCATATTTGCACAAGGCTATGACCTAAAAGTTGATCTTTATGCCTTACCTTTGACGGGACCAGACATAGTACTTGGAGTTCAATGGCTCGAGACGTTGGGATCTGTCACGATGAACTATAAAAAAGGCATTATGACTTTTGGACGAGCCCAAAAGTGAGTCAAGCTGCAAACTGGGGATCCAGGAGAAGAGCCCGAAGAAGTTGACGAGATCAATTTCATTATCCTTGAGGACAAGGAAACTCTCGAAGAGGGCGGGAATGATGAAGATGTGGTCATCGACCCTGGCGAGCCCTAGGACGATACCCATGAGGGCCTTGAGAGATGGCGAGAGGTTAGGCGAGAAAGGGCTCGAGGACGTGCAAAAATGGTGTGCGCACGCACTAAGGCGCGCGTACCGACGGGATGCGGCAACCGAGCCGCGAGGCGTGCGAGTCTAGGCCAAGTGAAGAAGAGGTGCACAACGGGAAGTGCGCATGAACATGAAGCTTGGGCCGACGACGAGAGTGAGAAGGCAGTGCCCGGGAAGGTGGGCGACTGGTGCAAGGTGTGCGCGAGATATAGACGTGCGCGGCGTATGCGGGCTAAGGCAGAAGGTGCACGAGGGGAGGATGTATGGTGGACAGCGTGCACTTGGGGCGGCTGCGATGGGGCGGACGCGCGAGTGAAATGGAACGATGCGATGGGCCCGACGAGCGGGTGCGAGCGGGGCGCGTTGATGGGAGTCACGCGCGAGGCGTCGCTAGAGTGGGACGCGTCCAATGCGATGAGCGAGCGAGGAAGTGAGGCCGAACGAGCGGACGTGCGAGGCACTCGTGCGACGGGCGAGCACTGTTTTGTAGTATTTTGTGGGTAGTTGGTAACCGAGCTACCGGACCTCGAGTTGTTCTCAAAGGAAGACAGTTCGGAGCTTCGTTTACCACTCAATTGTCCAAATCACAAAAAATGAGAAAATAAAAGCTAAACATGCTAATCAATTTGGATTGGGGATGGATTAACACTAATTGATGCTCGAAATTGAAAGAAAAAATAAACGAGAGAATAAATCAACTAGCACTACTGGAGTCTCTATGCTATCGACACCAAACGAACTCAATGACGAACAATTTGCAAGTTCTAAGCACTAGGTCACTAATCCTAACCTTCTAACCTAAGTGATTAAGCTCTAAATAGAGTCTTAATTAATCCCTACTAAAACAAGCAAGAGCAATGACCAAGTCCAAACATTACCTCCATCATCAAGTAAACACCCAAAATCACCTTGATAAACATCATAAGTAAAACCGGGGCAAAAATCGAAGTAATGAGCTTTAAAAGTAAATACCCTATCTTCTATTGCGTGCTAGACGAAAATCGGAGTCAAAAGCTCGGAACTTGAACAAAATAAGAGTCGCCGGAAAATTCGCTGGAAAATGATGTCATAGAGCTCCCAAGAGAGAGAAGAGAGAAAACTAAAAAGAAAATAGCTATTCCCAAAGTGGAAAAGTGAAAAATGAAATCTAGATGTTCCAAATACAAAGGACCAAAATTTATATATACTAAGTACCAAAAATACGCACTAAACACACACATTTAAAAAAAAAAAAACACTCGCGAGCCAAGGCTCGCTCGCGAGTTACAGCTTGAATTCCGCGAGCCAATTTCGGTGGCAAAGGTGAGGCTCGCAAGGACTCGCGAGGTGGAGTAGATTCGAGGGCTCGAAATCAGAAACTCGCGGGCAAGGCATGTTGTAGCTGGGACTCGCGACTGAAAAGGATTTCGGGGGATCGAACGTCAAAACTCGCGAGCAGGGCATATATGGGGAATTCGCGGGCATAGGAATTTCGAGGGCTCGAATCTTCGAATTGAAAGTGGGCTATGCCACGACTTTGAAAAGCTCTAATTAATTCCACGGGCCTCCGATCGACTCGAAACTTCGACTCACACTCCTCAAATCTTTTCCTCCTCGACATGGAAGACACACCAAATGAATTAGCACTCGAGACGGCACATCACGAAATGACTACATCTTCCTTTCGAACCTACAAAAACACCAAAACGCACAAAAGAGATTGGAAAAATATACGAGCACGACTAAAAACTAAAAACTACTAAAAACGAACAAAAATGGACCGGGACACACAAATCAAACCTAAAACGACTCGACTCAAGCAAATAAAACACAAGAAAAACACACAAAAACATAACAAACAACTCCCCCACACTTAGCTATTTGCTTGTCCTCAAGCAAACAAAATAGCAAGCAATTCGAAAAGAAATATCGAATGGTTCAAAGTTAACAATCATGCGAAAATGAGACTCTCCTTTTCATCCGGTAATCCATGGAATCAAACTCAAATTTGAAAACATGTTCCCCACAATATGAATCCATACAAAACAAAAATCCGTCCGAAGTCATCTTACACATGATTTTCTCGATCTAAACTTCCTTTTTTTTTCTACATACACGTGCAAAAAGCTAAATGCGGTCTGGTCAAAATGTAAAATACGATAATCATGACCGAATAAGCCAACTCCCATTCTTTATTTATTTGCTTTTGCCTTTTTTTTTTGTGTGTGTGCTTCTTTTTCCGAACGAGGTTTCCTAGACAATGCGTATTTAGGCTTACCCTCGATTGATCCACTCGAGTTCCCTAAACCGGTTTCCCAGGCTCATTATCCCATTCCACGAGGTGGCTCGGGATAAGAGGAGCCTAGTCCGTACCTCCTCGCGAACTCACATTTTATTCCACTTTCTTTTTTTTTTTTTTTCGAAGAGAGAGGCACAACAAAAGTACATCATAAGTGTTCACATAAACGCACAATCGATCTAGATGCACTACGAATGAATAGCATAACACGTTTACAATGATAACGAGCACAAGGTAAGAATATCTCAAGTCAATCAATCGAGAATAATCAAGGGACAAAACAATTCCGTGAATTCATATGCGGGTCCCACATTTTAATAAATTATCATCCAATTCAATGGTACCATCCAAATCATCAAGTTCATTAAAGCATAAAAGTTAACAATGACGCCACTTAACATACTTATCTCACCACTTAACCATTTTGAGCTTTTAAACGCACATTGAGCATCATGACGGGGAAGTGACGCCAAAAACACACAAAAAAAAAACATAAACAAAACCGGTCCAAGACACAACAAACGCCTAAACATGCATAATCACTAAAAATCATCCCCCACACTTAAAACAAAGCAATGACCTCATTGCTTAACCAACAAGTATACGGAAAGAACAAATAATTATGCACGTTCAAACATAGGACAATAACAAAAATAAAGAAGAGAAAAGCAACTAAAACACATAGCTAGAAAAGAAAAGAAACAAAACACATAGACAAATAAAAAGAAAACAAAGAGAAAAGGAAAAATAAAGAAAAGGAAGTGCGTACTCAACACGGTGAATAATCACCGTGTGTCCATTGGCGTCTCGTCCGGTGGAGTGGAAGAACTTGGCCCGACGGCCCTCTCTTGCTCGTATTGTTGGAGGCGTGCGTCCAACGATGCAATGTGGTCCTTCATCGTGTGCACATCGCCTCGAATGGTGGTAATCTCGGAGCTCATCCCGTCTAAACGGTTTTCCATTGCGCGCTTATGTCTCCACATCCCATCCAAACGACTCATCATACGGAGGTCAAGGCTCGCCAATTGTGTGGTTATCCTGGTCCACGGGTTAGCCTCGTAAGTGGTGGTCGCGGAGGGCTCAGTCGGAAGTCGGGGGCATTGAGGAGTAGAGGAAGTGTCGGGTTGCTCCATCGGTTGGTGTATCTCATCGGATTTGGGTTGGCCTTCGGGGACATCGTCGGTTGGTCGGGGTTCGGCTCTTGTGGCTCGGTTCCTTGTTGAGGTTCGGAGGGGAGGAGCACTTCTCGGTCAATACGTTCGGCGTTTGTAGCGGCTTGGCCCTTTTTGTAGACTTTCACTCGTTCGATATAGGCTTCAACACATTTTCGGGTATGATATGGTTTGACCTCGTAGCGGTTAATGGCGAGATCCGCTTGGACTAACTCATGTGACGTGATCGGCCGTTTTTTCATGAATTCCCCACCATATGTGGCTCCAAAATACTCACCGAAGATCGTAATCATATGGCCAAATACCGGCTTGAAGCGCTTGACTTTGACAATTTGGGCCATTTTCTTCAAAACATACGCGCCCAAATTCACGGGTTTGCCGTGCACCGCACACCAAAGGATAAAAATGTTTTCCGTGCTCACCTTTTGTCCATCCTTCTTGCCGAAAATGTTGTGGCAAATGAACTTGTGCACGACCGCGAGGGCGGGATCTTTGATGTGACCAGTAACACCATCGATGAACTTCAAGTACGGGAGTCCCAAAATTTCCATCCAAGCGGCCGCCAAGTCAAACTCCTTTGGCACGAAAGTCGGCCCCTCAAAGGTGAACCCGAAAAGCTCTTTCATCAACGCTTGATCTATCTCCATTGGCTTGCTATCCAATCGACACCGCACAATAGTTTCCTTCTCTTCGAGTTTGAACGTTGTGTAGAACTCCCAACAAAGTGTCACGTAGGCGTCGGCTCGAAGGGATACAAACATTAACAAGTTGAGATTCTTTAAATAGCGTTTGGCCCCGCTATAAATTTTAAGGTCCGTAAGAACTTCGTAGTCAATATATCGGGGAGGTCGGACCTTCTCGTCTCGTAGTTTATTGAAAAGATTGTCCTCGAGGTTCTCGGTTACGAGGAAAGGCTCCCTCCTTACCAATGGCACATTTTCGGTGTCGGCAATGGCTTCGGGACCGGTTTGGCATGGCAAGACATCCTCCGTAACATTCTCCTCCGTAACATTCTCCATTGGGGCACTCGATATCCCCTCATTAGTCGTGCCCCGTTTGCGTTTAGGTGCAGCTTGTCTCTTTTTTGGAGGCATAATACGAATAGAACTTGCGTTTAGAGTGTACCTATAGACAAATTTGACACGTCCGGAAAGACGTGTCTCCACAACAACCACAATCTCCAATACACAATATCACAATATCCCAATAGCCAATTCAACTCCACGTCAAATAATTCAACGAATTCCAACTCCAAATCAACACCAATCGAAACGAATAAGTTAGGATGTAGCCAATATACTTTCTATCGAAGAGTGAGCAAAAATCACGGAAAAATTCGGCGGCTCAGTCATCGGAGAATTGAGGAGCAAAGGAGTGGTCGGTGCTCGAGTACCAAGGTCACCGGAGGCTTGAAGTCACTGAAATCAGACTGAGGTTGGCGGAGTGTGGAGATCGTCGTCGCTGGGGACCAAAACTCGCCGGAGTAGACCGGAAATCGCAGGGGCTCGCTAGCGTGGGTCAAAGCTAGACCCAGTGCGGTGGAAGCCCTTTCGTGCTGGAAATCACAGAGGTTCACTAGCCGTCGGTCGGAAATTGAGTCGTCAATCGGAAATTTGGGTCGTCGGTGGCTTGTGTGCGCCGGCGATATAAAGATAGCTCGCGGTCGGAAATTGGGCTTGAAACGGAAAATGGTCGGAAGACGCGAACTCAAGTCGCTGGCAGGGTTTAGGGTTGCTGGTCTTGTCGCCGTTTGGTGGCAGGTCACCGGTCGTCGGAGATGGACGAGCGGCGGTTGGAGGTGGAAGTAGAGAGAGCGCGGCGGTGAGATGAGAGTAGAGAGAGATGCTGCGGTTTGTGCGTGACTGAAGAGAGAGAAAGAGCTAGGGTTTGAATGTTGACCATGTTGACTCTCTTGTGTGTACCTCGCGAGGTCGCGGGCGCTCCCGCGTGACGCGAGTTCCGGGCGCGCCTCGCAAGATTCTTCGCGGCGCGGAAAAAAGGTCGCAAGACTTGGGCAGCAACTCGCGAAATTTAGGGCCTGCTCGCGGAATGGAATTCGCGAGCGCGAATTTTTCTCTTTTTTTTCTTTTTTTTTTTAAATGGAGGGAAAGAAAGGAAGATAAAGGAAAGAGAAAAATAAAATGAAAACAAATAAGAGAAGAACAAAAACAAAAACGTGGGTTGCCTCCCACGAAGCGCTCGGTTTAAAGTCGTGAGCTCGACTTTCCCGTCAATTCATAGTCAACCGGGCACGGTTTGACGAGCTCATCCAACCTCATCGTGCTCGTCAAAGAAAACATTCGCCCACTTACTCTTCGGGGGCACCGGGGCATTTCTCCTCGACTTTTCATCAAAATTCACCCCTCCCGGTTTCGCACTTTCACCATTTAACTTCTTTTTCGCCCCTTTCTTACCCGGTTTCGAACCATTCCCCTTTCCAACATCATTCTTCTTACGCAACTCCTCAAATTTCTTTTCAACACCATCATTAATATTCAATCCCGACCCAACTACCTTCTTATTCTCACCAACACCATTGCAATTAACAAAATTAGAAAGGGAATCGGGATGTACCATTTGGTCGATGTCGTCCATAAACGAGCATTGGCCAACTTTGGGTGGAGACTCTCGAGCATTGTTCATCGTGAAGGTGACCGTCTCTCCATGAGCTGAAAGGGTGACTCGTCCATCCTTGACATCAATGATGGTGTTGGTCGTCGCTATGAAGGGTCGTCTAATCAAAATTGTGTGCTCCTTCCCGGTATTCGGGACATCCCCAACGTCAAGGACCATGAAATCCACCGAAACGACAATGGACCCAACTTTGACCAACACATCTTCAATAATGCCCTTCGGTTCCCTCAACGTTCGATCCGCTAGTTGTAGGCTCATCCTTGTCGGTTTTAGCCCTTGCAATCCCAATTGTTTGTAAATCGAGTAGGGCATAAGATTGATACCGGCCCCCAAATCTAACATCCCGGTCATCGTCTTACCATTTCCAAAAGTGATCGTCATCACAAAGGCTCTCGGATCGCACTTTTCCCGAGGTATAGTGGTTGCGGCTACCTCAGAAATCATGACTTTCTCATTGTCCTCAAACCTCCTCTTTTTCGATGCTAGATCCTTGAAAAATTGCACGTATGTCGGGGCATTCTTGATAACGTCTAAAAGTGGGAGATTGACGTTTACCTTCGAGAGCATGTTGAAGAGGTCCTTGAATTGACGCTCCTTCTTTGTATTTTCCAAACGGCTCGGGTCGGGAACCGGTGGCTTATAAGGTGTAGCCGACTTGTGTAAGCCCTCACGTGCATCCATCTTTGACTTTTCTTTCTTGATCCTCTCATCAACTACGGCTTTACCCTTCGAGACCTCAACCTCCTCAATCGATTCATCCTCATCCTCGACAAGAGTCTCCTCCACCTAATTCTCCTTAGGCACCTCTACATGGTTATCAACCTTTTTGCCACTCCTCAACACCATAATGGCATTCACATGCTCGGGTTGGCTCAGGAGCTTGTCCTTCATCTTGCTCCTTTGCATTTCGCCGATTAAAGTCCCGAGTTGCCCCACTTGAGTCTCGAGGCATTTGAGGGAAGATTGGATTGAAGGTACGCCCTTAACCGCATCATGGAGAGTGGACACGGTCGATGCAAGGCTTTGAAGCTACTTCTCCATATTGTCGATTCGAACGTCTGAGGGATTCGCCTTAGTCTCATTTTCGGGCTCCGGTTGAGGTGGCATTGGTTGCCTTGGAACAAATCCTCCTTGTGGTTGTTGGAATCCTTGAAACTCAGGCCTCGGTTGGTAGCCTTGGAATTCGGGTCTCGGTTGATATGGTTGGTTTTGAGACGGGGCAAAGACATGAGGTGGTGCCAGTTGAGGTGGATAGTTCACCTTCGGGTCCCTCCAAGAGAAGTTAGGGTGATTCCTCCACCCGGCATTGTAGGTTTTCGAATATGGATCATTTTGAGCTCGGGGAGCATACCCTTGCACGACATTGACATCAAAAGGGACCGTCACAACATTCGGGTCATAAACCGGCTCCATATAACGTGGACACTCATGCCTCCGTGCCCCATCTCTCCACAACAACCACACACCTCCGCCATAACTACTTGAGTCGACTTGGAATCACGTAGACGAAGGTGTTTGAGCTCCTCCTCCAATGAGGCTAACTTAGCCAAAGCGGCATCATTAGTCGACCCGGACGAGTGTGTAGCCTCATTCACGGGAGTCCTCTTTCGCACGCTCTTCCTTTGAGAATTTTCGCTCAACATCTCGTACAACTCGTAGTTCTCCTCGGCCGTGTGACTCTCGATACCTCCCCCGGCCGCATGGTCCACCATGTATTGGAGAGTTTGGTAGAGCCCATCGTAGAAGAATTGGTTGAGCACACCCAAGCAAAAATGATGATGTGGGCATTGGAGTTGATAGCCCTTGAAACGCTCCCATGCTTCGTGAAAGGTCTCGCCCGGGTTTTGGCTAAAGCTAGCCATTTGTGCTCGGAGATCGGTTGTCTTTTGATGCGAATAGTACTTGCCCATGAACTTCTCGTAGACGGCTTCCCACGTGTTGAGTGAGTTCGGAAGCAATGTCATGAACCAAGTCTTGGCCCGATCTTTCAAGGTATAGGGGAAACATCTCATACGAAGTTGGTTCTCGGTTAAGCCTTGGAGAGGGAAGGTGTTGACCGTGGAGTAGAAGTCTCGGAAGAAATTGAGGGCACCTTCTTGTGCAAGGCCATAGAATTAGGGAAGTTGATTGAAGTGGATCGTCTTGAGGTCATAGTTTCGGGCCGCCTCCCCAAGCACAAGGCACGAAGTGTTGTCTCCAATGATTGGTCGTGCAAAGTACCTCATGTTTTGGGGTGGTTATGGCAATTGATCTCCTTGTGCCGCCATTGGTTCGGGTTCGAGCTCGGGTTCCGGTTGTGGTTCGTCTATGTTGAGCTCAACGAAGAGATTTAACGGTGGAGTCTCCTCTCGGGTTGCTTTCTTCCGTCTACCTCGCATAAACACAACCAACAACTATACCCGCGAATGCACCAATGGGAAACAAGAGCAAAACACAATCCAAAAACACAACTATCTACAAAAGCAAGAGAAATCAAGAGAAATACGGAAATTAAGCAAGGTTCACAAAAATCAAGAGAAACACGAGAAAAAGGGGTAATCAAGTAATAACTAGGCATCCTACTTGCCTTCCCCGGCAATGGCGCCATTTTGTTTTGTAGTATTTTGTGGGTAGTTGGTAACCGAGCTACCTGACCTCGAGTCGTTCTCAAAGGAAGACGGTTTGCAGCTTCGTTTACCACTCAATTGTCCAAATCACACAAAATGAGAAAATAAAAGCTAAACATGCTAATCAATTTGGATTGGGGATGGATTAACACTAATTGATGCTCGAAATTGAAAGAAATAATAAACGAGAGAATAAAGCAATTAACACTATCGGAGTCTCTATGCTATCGACACCAAACGAACTCGATGACGAACAATTTGCAAGTTCTAAACACTAGGTCACTAATCCTAACCTTCTAACCTAAGTGATTAAGCTCTAAATAGAGTCTTAACCCTTAATCTAGATAGGCAAGTAATTAATCCCTACTAAAACAAGCAAGAGCAATGACCAAGTCCAAACATTCCCTCCATCATCAAGCAAACACCCAAAATCACCTTGATAAACATCATAAGTAAAAACGGGGCAAAAATCGAAGTAATGAGCTTTAAAAGCAAATACCCAATCTTCTATTGCGTGCTAGACGAAAATCGGAGTCAAAAGCTCGGAACTTGAACAAAATAAGAGTCTCCAGAAAATTCGCCGGAAAATGATGTCATAGAGCTCACAAGAGAGAGAAGAGAGAAAACTAAAAAGAAAATAGCTATTCCCAAAGTGGGAAAGTGAAAAATGAAATCTAGATGATCCAAATAAAAAGGACCAAAATTTATATATACAAAGTACCAAAAACACGCACTAAACACACACATTTAAAAAAGAAAACACTCGCGAGCTAAGGCTC